AGCACAATTAAACTTAAAGCAACAGGGAAATCACAAATCATTTTCCCAAGAGCACTACACAACAGAGAAATAAAATGGGCCATTTACCCTTACACATTTACTCTCTATTAAGGCAGCTCTTGGATTTTCCTGAAGGGAAGACTACATATTTTGTACTTTTAGTAGATTAATTTACTAGGAATGTTTACTCTCTGTAATTATTAGAACCAATTTCCTCATGCCTATTTACAGACACACAGTTTTAAAAAGCCAGTCAAAGTGATATAGATCTACCAAGGAATCCAAATGATTTTAAAGAGGGACTACTTTAACTTAATTCTCTATTTTTTCATTATGTTGCCAGGCTTCCAAATAGTACCTGTCTGCTGCAGCCAAAATACCAAAACCTGCAGGTGCAAGGGACACAGCTGTCTCAGTAGAGGATACACCAAAATATTTGTCCCAATGTGCAAAGGCTAAATCACCTTTAGCCTTCTATGAAAAATTCTTCTACCAGCACTAATGACTTTTCCTAATAACCCAATCCAAGTTCTTGAGCTTTACAAGTTTGACAGGACAGCAGATATGATTCTTTGGGCATGTAATGTCAATATTTCATATAACCTGCAGAAACCTACAGGTGCCTCTGGATAAAAGTTTACACAAGTCTTTGTTTACTATCAGGGTAACAGAGCCTGTTACACTTCTACAGAAATCCATGGACATGACTGACTCAACATGCCCAGGCACTTGGCACAAACGTGCTGAAGCACGACGGTGCAGGCCCACATGTGTAGTCAAAGGTTGTTTCTCAAAAGGAGTGACTCCAACATTTCTTTACTGAATCCACATGAGTAGTAAAATGGTTTTGCAAAACGGGTGCGAAGATGTAATGAATCCAGTATAAATGGCTCAGGCTCCACAGCCTCATTGACAACAACAATGGTCTCAGTCTTCCATACGCAATTCCATCCCCAGTAACAAATACTCAGACTCCCAGGCCCGTGCTTCAGATAGCTCCTATAAATTCACTTCCCCACAAAGACAACGAGCAAGCAAAGGAGTCACAGTATACACCACGCCCCACTGCCTTCCTACGCTTTCCTAAGAATTTCCCAACAGGACAAGATCTTTAATGTCCTTTTCACAACTGCAACAAATTGCTTCTCAGAAAAACTCTCTGCCCATTTGGCCATGGGAAATGTTGACCTCTTGGTTAGAGACTGCAATGAGGTTTTTTGAAAAGCTGATAGTAGTAAGCTGCCCTGAAAGCCTGGCCAGGGACCAGGAAGAGATTAGGAGGGCTCCCAGTTTGTACTAACAGGGGTTCAGCTAAATAAACACAGCCGCTAGATGTAAAACAGAGGGGTCTCTGTTGATTGCAATCACTTCCAGAAGAAAAAAAACTGGACATATTGGAGTATGACATATTCCTGATATAGACCGTAGGAAAAGGAAACTTTTTTTGGATAAAGAAAGCCTGGACAACATATCTCTTGGTACACACCAATATTTTTAGGTATTGAGGGTTTCGTGACTGCTTTAGTTCGATGGAAAAAGTGATGACAATTTCAATACTAAATATTTTACAGGCAGAATATTCTGCTACTTTGAGCTATGCACGGGCACTTACAACACTAACACAAAGACTGCCATATTAAAGGCAATACTATTCACATCCAGTTACACAATATTATGGTAATGACATACACACTTCCTCTTAATCTAAAAAGAGGCTTGAGATTTGTACTGTAAGATATACACAAATATCCTAATGAGAAAAACTTTTACAAAGAATTGATGCTACAGGATATTTTTCTTCTCACCCTTCTTCAACATACAGTACATACCACATCAGTGTATGTATCTGCAGATTTTCCAGGTTTCATACTCCAATACTTTAGCATAAGAACTTTTCAGAACATTGAAATAAGACATTATCTATGTGGGGCTTCTTTCCAAAATGCTGATACACAACACAGAACTCATGAATGTTGTATTATTTAGAGCCATGAATAATAGACCTTATTTTTTGACTCACGTTAATGTTTCTTTTAAATAAACTTGGTGTCTGTATTAGGAGTATCTCCTTTCTTATTTAAGTATCTGATTGGATACTCCAAGATCAGTACTTCTATGGCCATATATATGCCCAAACATACAAAAATGTTCATGATTTCACACAGCAAATATGAGTCACTCAGTCTGTAAAGTATTAGGTATCCAAGATGTCAGAGTCTGGAACAGTTAAGGAGCACATTTTCTTCAAGTTAATTTGTTTTAAAACTACTGCTTTGTTTTATTTCGTTTTTACACTAAAGAAGGTTAAACTGACCCAGTTAATTTGAATTCTTGATTCAGCCTGGGTCGTGGTACGTCGTGCAATATTCAGTTACATCCCATCTGGCATGATATAACACTGCATGGTAGAAGAGTGAAATCAATTAAATGTATACTTCATATAAATGCTATTACTTAAATGACTTTGTAAAGGCAGGGCAACAGGTAGCAGGCAATGGAGATTGGCAAGAGATGAAATGAGTTATATCATACCTCTTCCACTTCCTAAACACTTTTTGCTTTCTACCTTAGGAGAAGCTGGCAATCTGACAAAAAACTTATTAGGAACTGAAAGGTTCATTTACGCTAGTTAAAAGGGTAAATACACACCATTAGCTAGCTAACAAACTTGTAATCAACATCTGGTTAGCACACAGGAACAGGACTCCCTTCTCATCTCAGTGTGCTAATTTTATCAACATACTTTTTTTTTAGTCCCTTTAGTTTTTAAGTCCCTGAAAGTGTTGCAAGTCTATTGAATCAGTCCTATTCAGTGGTATGCAAAACACATTAAGACAAGATCCCATCAAGTCTGTTTTGACCAAGTACTAAAATGTTACATGCACAAGCTCATTCAAAAACCTTTCTAAACTCCTAGGAACATTTATGTGTAAATCTTAATCATCACAAGAGCAATCCACAATACAGTTATATTTAAAAGTCCAACATGTCTCTGGCAGAGGTGAAGCAGTATGAACAAAAAAGTTCCCTGTCCACATCTTAATATTATACACAGAATTTGGAAAGAAATCCCATATAGAACATATGGGCTCCACAATTTTAGCTGTACTAGGTGCAAAAATCAGAAGTTGTTAAAATGAATTAAAAAAATTTTATTGTTCATCACAATTGCAAAATTTCAGCATTATTTGCCCCCCTCCCCCTGCTTTCATTCTGCTTAAAATATTTATATCACCTGTCTGAGATATGCTCAAGGCCCTAGTTCTAGTTTTTAGGCTTTTTTCTGGTGTTTAGAACCTTGTTCATAAAAGCTTTTTCTACAGCCAATATTTTCTCAGCCCTCATTTGGCTATCAGCATGCTCACCACAACATCACCTACACTTCCTTCAGCATTTGAATTGGATTCAGTGTTTCATCTCATGACTTTTAACTAGAAATGCCTATTTCTCACAGTCATTCCTTCCTCCTTGAATTCCTTAAGTAGCCTCTGCAATGTTGTGTGTTCCTCCTGCATGTGGTCCTGAAAGTTACCCTTTTCTTCTTCAGGAGCCTCCTGAAAAATGCCCCTCCAATCTGCCAAGAATAAACTTGCCAACACACCAGCCAGGGGAGATGTAACGGGGAAGAAAGTTTATCTTAGTCTAAACATCAGACTACAGAAAATAAAAAAAAGTATACAATTATAAACATTTGAAATATTGAAACTGTTAGGAACAAATTTGATGAAAGCTGTTAAATCGTGGAATCCAGTTCTCTGCTCTCACAGGAACACCTGTGATGAAATAATAATACTAACAATTTGTGAAGCTCTTTTGAGCCCAGCTCAAAGCCTGAACATTCCTCAGCAGCATACTTTGTGCTGCTTCACTGACTGGGCTGCAAGCTCCTTGGCTTCAGACAGTTCTTTGACATCACTGGAAGGAGTTACTGGACTTGCCCAAGTTATCCTTAGCTTGGGGAAATTCATGTACACACTTAGATTTGCACAGACACACTAGAACAATGTTCCTAAGGGTGGGCAGGTTGTCAAGACTACAATACAACCATATGTAACTACTTTGTTTCTGAATATTAATCATTTATCAAAAGATACAATATGAACTACATGTACTTACAACAATCATCACCAAAATTGATTCAGTCAGTTCTCATAACAGAAGAAGCAAAAAAGTTCATTTTTCTAAAAGTTCAAGTCACATTATATTTGTGTTATTAAAACTAAACTTTTATTCAAAGTAATTAGCACAATTATCCTATTTACAATTGAATTTAAAAACTGAAAAATAAACCTGGAACATTTACAAACAATTAAGACTTAGAATAGAAATGCTAAAAAAATTTACATATAATACTTCATGAAAAACACATGGTAAATATTCCTGTCTCCTGGTACTACATTTGTGGTATTTGTCCATGACAATGTATTTAAGAACAAACTGGCATCCTAATGCTAAACACGAATGCATTTTAATAAAAGCTGTTTTTCTTGCTGCCAGATGCAAAACAATTTTAACATTAGAAAGTTTCAGTGGAAATAACAGGTCAAACCAAGTTTTCTTACTTTTGTATCACAAAATCCTCAGAAAATTAACACTGTAGGTAAGTAATTTAAAGTAGCATCTGAGAATTACAGCACCACTCATTTCCTTAAATACTTGCATTATCTGGATAGTAATCTGCTAGACACAAACACAGGGAAATGCTCACACAGATTATGGTAAAAGGTACACTGGGCACTTCTCCACTCCCAAGTCCAAATGAAATTTCCTATTCATTGGTCAATAGATAAAAGACATTCATAAGCTTTAACAGGAGACAAGAACAGAATTTATTTTAGAACCTAAAAAAATCCTTGTATTTCCAAAAAGTGGTTCTTTCCATAAGAATACATTACTGAGAGGCACCTTTAACACAACACAGTTGACAAGAGGAAAACTGAAGTCATCCTGTTCTCACTTGCTAGCCATCAATCCTGCTTGAAATATGGAAGATCCCAGAACTAAATTCTGTTTTTTTTCTTACAAACATGAAGTAAGAGGTTTTTCTGTGTCCGTGATTTAACACTCAATGCTACATTTCCTTCACAATGGCTTCTAACTATGTTTCTTGGCACATCCTGTTCTTGCTTCCAGCTCTTTGTTTTAACTCCTAGTGAAGAAAGAAATGTTCATATAAATTAGATACACTCATTCAATAAGCATAAGAAGAATTTTGTTTACCTGGATCTTTTTTTATTTATTATAATAAAATGTGAACATTTTATTAATTCTGATCATTATGTAGCAGTATTGAAAAATGAACACTATATATCATTAGAGAAAGTTTTGTCTATTTAATCCAAAAGCAGCTTTTCCACTTAGTGATTTGGTTCTATTTCATTCTTCTCCTCTAACCCATGCTGTTGCAAATTAAGTGTATCTTACATTCAGGTAAACTTTGAAGAATCCAAAAATTTATTCTCTATTTCAGAATGTGGTGCTTCATTTCATAGTTTCTTAATACCAGAGTAGTGATTGAATTTGGTAACTTCATAACTCAGTCTTTCGTAGTAGAAAATGATACTGCTATAACTGTGTATGCATTTTGCCAAAGAACTAATCATTGGTTAGACAGTGTTTAGCCTCACATTTACACTTTTCAGAAAGTTTATTGTAATAGAACTCAACATCTCACAAATAGATAATTATAGTCATATGTATTTGCTCTGTTACATCAGTTCTTACATAAAAACAGGTACATGCTGTAAAATTTGTGTACTGCCTATGCCACTGGGAAAAGCTACACAATTGGACTATTTCATAAGAACAGCAGACTAAAACTTTAATCTTTGATCTTATCTACACTGCCAAAGCAGTTACACTGTGATCTTTCTTAGTGCATTTCTGAAGGGAGAGAGGAAAAGGAGACAAGTGGCTAGAGAGTAAAGAAAAGTTGTAAGGATTTGGTGCATCAAAATCTATGGCAGGTGTCAGGCAAGTTAGCGCCATGCCCTAGGAGTAGCAGAGGCTTTTGGAAAGTTCTGAACAAAAGATGTGTGCAGTGACTGAAAAAATTCCTTGTAACTGATTTTGTTACAGTTAAGATTTATGTACCTCAGAGAAGCCCTGTAATTGCAGCAGATTTTCACAGAAAACTGATAGTATTATCAGCAATCTGTTAGAAGCAAGACAATTCCTAAATATTTTTTGAAAATAATTTTTCCTCAGCTATTGTGTTGGCCCAAAATAGCCACAAAGTTGAAGTAAAAAAATCTTTGAAAAAAACCCATATCTGTAAAAAGAAATCAGTGTGGTGTTGTAAAACAAAGCAAGCAGTTTAAAACAGGTACAGAAATGATTAGAGGATTTCAGCTCTTAATCAACCACAATTGTCAAAAGACAAAATTGGTAATAAAGTTCACCCAATTTCTCAACAAGATAATTTCTGGTGGGAGATCTTAACTCTTAGGGAAAGGTTTTCTGAAGAGGTTTGTAGCAATCTGAGTTTTCATTAGATACCATCTAGATAACTGGTTAGACATTGAGTGGTTTTTTTTTTTTTTTTTTTTTTTTTAATATGCTATTCAAACTGATGGCTTTGTTTACAGATCACAGCAATACATGCTGTTAAATTAACAAAACCTTGAATAACCACCTTAATTTTGGACCAATGCAGTGTCATAAACACAAGTTTTGACACTTACCTGCCAGCTTAGGCACTCGCAAAGCTCTGTGGCTTAACAAGACTTCTTGTCGAATGCGTTTTTCAGCACTAGGGTTTTGTATGTTGCTCAACCCTGTGTTTGATGTAGAACTGGAAAAATGGAAAAGAGTTTGCTTTTAGTACAGTGATTAAGCTACATTATAATAGTTTAAACCTTGCAATGCAGAAATACATGAAATTTTATTATCTGCTATTGGTAGTTTGTAACAGAATGCAAAGAAACTAATTTATGATGTACATATATGGACACTGTTCCCCTTTTTACTACTTAAAAATTTATAAGAATATTTCCACTGTGAAAATAAGAACCAATGTTGTCGCTCATGTTAAAAAGCAGACCAATATGCCAGAGGTTTTTTTGGAAACCACAGAAGCCGGTTTGATGGTCACTGCACACAAATTAGACTAGGAAATAACCTTAATGCATGTATGAAATCCTTGAAATGACCAAACTATGTTTATGGAAGAAATTTTTTTATTGCTGCAATAATTTTTCTACAGCCTGCAACACAGTTGGAAAGGATGGTTTCATAGCAGACATTATGTTTTGGCTAAGCTGCAAGAATGCTGGTACAGCCTTAAATTAACAAAGACAAAACCCCTGTATGTTACAGTCTTTTATGTGATGAACTTAAGATCTACAGTGAAAATTACAAACCTGTCTGATCTTTTCTACTTGCCTCACTAACTTGTCTGGTTCTGCTCTCTAAGACAGCCTCATAAACAAGCCAACTATCTCCCAAGCTTCCATGCTTTTCCCAGTCCTTTAGTGATATTGTATTATTCCCACTTTATAGTCCTCTATCTTACAGCAGTTTTCTTCATAATAATTTTCTGCCTAAAGGAAAATACACAGCAAGCAGTAAAGTCTAAGACCTGCCTTGCAACAAGTCTAAGACCTACTCAACACATAGAAGAGAACTTAGACCAAGAAGAATATAATGCTATTTAGTAAAAGCAGCCTCTGTGTTACAACTGACTTGTCTCTTATCCCTTGTCCTAACAATACAACTGTTTCAAATTATATTTCTAATGTAAATAATTATGTCCAAAATTTTTTTTATTCTAATGCAAGTATGAGGTGGATGGCTGAAGCAAACTACTTCAAACAGGAAAAGCAAGAGAGAGAAAAGAGAAGAGAAAGTAAAAGAGGTGCTATCTGAAAAGTAAGAGCATATTCTCCTCCTCCACCAACAAGAAGCTTGAATTCCTCCTCTTCATCACCATCTACTAGACCAAGCCAACAAGAATCTGTTTCCAGGTAGTTTTACAGTCTGAAGCAGAAGAAATAATCCCCCCAAGCAGAAAAAAAGTTGTGAAAAAGCTATTTGCTAGTTAGAAAATGTGATATTTGCCTCTTCTCATCTTAGATCAATACAGTTTATTCCTCATTCTAGAGCAATCCTAGCAAAACAGTTTAGAACAATAATTAGAACAGGACCATGAAATAGGGCCAGGTAAATCTGTGATCTTCCAGGAAGATTTTTTTTATCTCAAAAGATGCTAATAATATGAAAAAGTGCTAAAGTTTCTTCCCTATCCTGTGATCTATCCATTGTTCCAACAGTCTTCATAAAAGAGAAGTGAAATAGTATTTCTTCCCAGAGCAGACCACAAGAACAAAGTCATAAAAACCAAGACTGGAAATGAATTACCAGAAAAACAAAGGCACTGGCCACTTAAGTATTAAAAAGCATTTTTCTGCTTTCTATTTTGATAACTTCCAATATGTTCCAGCAAAGGCCCACCATTTTCATACAAATTAGATTTTTAATTGATGGTAGAATTTCTTTTTTCAGAATTGTGTCATCTTTCTATTTTATGTAGACAGCAGAGATGGAAAACACAGTATTAGTTTGTACTTGTTAAAAAAAACCCCATAAGTTCCTAACCAAGGGTAAAAACTTGCCAGAAAAAAAAAAAAAAAAAAAAAAAAGGATTTGCCCAACACATTTGAGTCATAACATCTCATATGTAGGTCCAGACAACTTCTATAAGAGTTTTTCAGGTTTGAAATGTAATATTGAATCTTAATTAAGAACATAAAACACAAGTATTATGAAGAGCAGCTGAGGGAACTGGAACTGGGGCTATCTAGCCTGAAAAAGAGGAGTCTGAGGGGAGACCTTAACACTCTAGAGAGCGAGAGTTGTAGACACCTACCTGAAAGGAGGTCGTAGAAAGCTGGGTGCTGATCTCTCCTCAACAAATAACAAGGCAAGAGGAAATGGCCTCAAGCTGTGCCAGGGGAGGTTTAATTTGGATATTAGGAAACATTTCTTCACTGAAAGGGTTGTCAAGTCCTGGAACAGTCTGCCCAGGGAGGTGGTTGAATCCCTGGACATGTGTAAAACTCATGTAGATATGGCGCTTAGAGACGTGGTTTAGTAAGGGACTTGGTAGAGTTAGGTTAATGGTTGGACTCAATCTTGAAGGTACTTTTCCAACCCAAGTGATTCTATAATTATGATTCTAGGAACACAAACTCATTGGTATAGAAGAGTTAGCTTACTCTTACCTTAATATCTTTCTCTTTCTCTCAGCAGCAGAAGTCATTGCCATATATGAGGGCTTCTCAGGGAGTGAAATAGCACTTTTGTTTTCTAATGAAGAGAGACCAAACCTGAAATCAAAGAATTATATTTATTGTACCATCTATTCTGGCTAGAAGTCAAGTGAAATTGTTCATAACTGGAAATAAATATATGTTTAGCTGAAAAACAATATTGGAAATTTGTTTCAACATTACTTGAGGCAGCTTTGCAGGACTTCAGACATACACGGCAGCTTTAACAATGGCATCTCTCAGTGTCAAAGAGGTTAAGATATCCATTTCATATACAGGAAAAGTAAGGCCTAGAGACTAAGTAACTTGCCTGCAGCACCACAATTTCAGAAGCGCTGTATTTCCTTTTTGGTACCTATCTTGTAAAATATGAAAAGCTTTCAGCTTCATCTGTTGTCATTAACAGACTATTGATTTCAAATAACAGCAAAATGGAATCTGATGCCAATTAAAACTGGGGGTTTGATTTTCAAAATGTTTGGTTTACAAGTAAAAGTGGCATCAATAGAAAAACCCAGGGATGAAGATTAACAGAATTAAATTGGGCATAAATGCCAGCATAAATGGAGAATACCTTTGCAGAACGCTACCGCTGCATGGCTGTGACTCCTTCACGGACGAGTCTGTAGATGTTTTGGTCGTTTCACGTGGCCCTTCATAGAGAATTACTGTTGAGTTCATGTCAGTTTGATCAGACTCTGGGATTATGTCACATGTAGAGTCCATGATACTCTCCTTTTCCACTGGCATATCTATATCACAGGCATTGGCCTCATGAAGGCCTGCAAGGTGTAAAGCACTTTTTAGCACAGATGGTGTACGACTGCTTTGTACTGGCTTTCTGCAGACATCTGGCGTATACATGATAGGCTGGACCTCCTTGGTGAGGGAATCCTCCACATGACGGAGACTGGGGCGCTTGGATGGCGTAGGGCTTGGAGATGGAGAGTCCATTAGCTTCCGCCTAGTTCTTTTCTGTGGTGGTACTGCACATTCTACTCCTTGCTGTGTATTTGTATTCAATTCTTGTGCTGGTGTACCAAAAGTTGTACCTGTACAACATAAGCAACAATGGTTAGCACAGTCACCTCCATTTACTACTTCAATCTTGCTTTTTCACTCCTCTTCCCTGAATTATGTTTATCAGCAAAAATTATTACAAATGCTGCTTAATTTACACATTAATTTGGTCACAACTGAAATTATTTCCATTACAGAATTGTCCAGATGGTAGCATTTGTTCTGTGGCACTCTAAGTGATATAAATATACATAGGTTGACAGAGTTAATCCCACATATACTACAAGTAGCCACAAGTAAGATATAACATGACAGCAAGGAATGCAAGAGTAAGAGTATTGAAAATGACATGTATTATCATAACAAAACTCCTAATTTAAGATGGTACTAGCGCAGTCATCTACACCTGCTTCCTGATCATAGCCATCATAGCATTCAGTAGAATGAGAGACGCTGTTGTAAGAGGAAGGACATAGAATCACTCAGAGGGACAAAATTCTTTAACATTGCAAATGAGAAAGTAGTGTTTTGGAAAAGGGGAAAGAAAAGTTACTTGGATCCTATTGTCTCAATAGATCATCTCTGGAAAAAAAAAAAATCTCTTGACTAAAAAATCCCACCCTTAAAAATAACAAAGCAAGCATTGTAGCAGTAATTGGCAATTTCCATTCATCCAGATTCATATTTATTTTCTTGAATTGTCATAATACTTTATTTTCAAGCAGGTGTTAATAAAGGCTATCTCCAAAGTAAAAGAGAAAAGGTGTTTCTTTAAGTTTTCAGTAAAGAAGAACCATCTTAAGACACAGACCACTGCTCAAATTGCTATGCTGGTGGTGACCTAAGTAGTTAAAAAAATAAGGACTTCTTTTAAGAAATGGAGACTACTATACTTAAAAATGTGGATTTGCTCCACTTCAGCTGGTAGCCACAGCACCGTACTTCCCCTTTCTGCACTGCCTGCTTCATTCCTACAGGCAACTAAACTGTACAAGAACTCCTGCTTCTTCAGTTTCTGCAAGTTACTCAGAAATTAACTATGGTATTCCTATACCCATGTTGATAAATATATATTTCTTCAAAAATTCTATTCCATTTTTCCCTTCAGAGTAAGCAAGAATTCCTCAGTCTGAATACTTGAGCTCTCCATATTAACACTTACAGCATTTTAGCTGTTCCATAAAATCACTTTGACAAGGAAGAAAATGAATTAAGAACAAATATTGCATTATTTCTACACACCTCCCAAAGTTTCACTTCTTACAAAAACCCAAGCTTAAATTATTGTAGTCTTTTCTGACTTTTTACCACTTCTCAGTCCCCCTTTCATTTTGAACTCATCGTGCAGTGGCAATCCAAATTGCTGTAGGCAAAAAGCTCCAAGAATGCCTGTTCTCCAAGTACCCTCCAAAAATGGATATCTTGGGGAAAAGGCCCAAATAGCAGCCTCATTGCAGGAAAGCTGTCCCAGGATGAAGGATAATCTTAGCATCACTTATTTGACATACTTTGGAATAAACCATACCATGCAATGGGTTCCTTGTGCCCAGCTATGCTAGATGATCATCACAAGTCAGAACTGTGAGGAGATAGGAAAGGATTTAAAGACTGCCACGAGACCTAGACCTGTTCTGGGAGGATGGAATAAGGAGTATCCAAGTGTGTATGAGTGTGTAAATTTGATGCTAATATATAGGCCATAAATCTATGTTGCCAGAACTTAATTCACTAAAGAAACCATTGATAAAACAAAGCAAACACTTACTCCTCACTCAAGGGCTCTGTTTCAGAAAGAACTATGAACTACTATGGTTCAATAAATATGCAACATCATATCCAACACTTCATAAACAATAAAAGCAGGTTAATTTTAGTTGAATTCCATATGGGAAAAGATGCTGACAATGACACGAACAGTTACAATCCTGTTATGCTGTTTTCAGCTTGGAACACGCACAACGAACACTCAGGCCTGCAAGGACTGCTTGACATGAAATAACTGAACTGTGAACGTCTGAGTGCCTGTGTACAGTTCACTATATATGTAAAAGTTTTTGTTGTTGTTAAAATGCAAAATACATTATTTCCTCATACTTATTCATAGTCTAATTCATGGTCAGCACTGACAGGTGAAATGCAGCAGGCTGCTGAAACAGAAGCTTGATCGTAATCTAAACATTATGCAAACTCAGAATGTTCTCCATGAGTAGTATAATGTAAAAGGAAGGAAAACAGAGGCTGTGTGTCCCCCAAATAATTTTTACCTCCCACAGAAATATAAGCTTTCATCCATTGAGACATTTTTCTTCAAGACTTGGTAGGATTTTGATGGTAACAAACAAGAAACTTATTTACGGGCCATTTTCAGTATGTACTCTGTGACACTACCAGTAACACTAGGTTTCATTAACATTGCTCTTTAGTTCTAGTTTCACGAGCAGAATATTAGTCTTCTGTCTGTAAGACTAGCACAAGAAAATTCTACTCATCACAACCAAAACTTTCTTATATAGATTTTCTTTTTTGACAGCTTAAATACAAGATTAAGCTTTATGTAAGCATTCCAGATCCAGTGATTGAAATAACTATGCATTAAACATTTCAGGACACATTTAAAACTATTAATTTATTAGGTTTTCTTCGTGTCTATATGCATCTGAAAACGTGTGCTTTGGGAAAATAATAGTTAAATTCTATTTGTCTGTTGTTACATTAGGACAGGGAGGCTCCAGTTTCCGAAAGTTTGCTTACCGTAAGACACTGAGGTTTTGCTAATGTCCTAAAGTTACTAGGAAGGAAGTCTGATGGAGAAAAATTTTGGTGAGAGTGCCAAGTTTTAGAAGCTTCTCCAGGACTAAATACTGGAAGCATTTTTAAATTAACTGTAAATGCAAGCATTTAAACCATGAAGTAAATAGGTAAAGAACACAAAAGTCTTGCCAACATTAATAATTTGTTGAATTTCATAATCATGAACAGTATCTCATACTGTAATACAAGTACATTAATAAAATCACAGTTGCAGCAATTCTATATGGGACAAATAAGCCTTTAATAAAAACCCAGACCTATTTTAAAAATACATTTATTTCTGGAATGAAACTCTTAAAACAAAGGTAACACAAAACTAACTTTTCTTTTGTGAAAGCACTAAGAAAACACAGTAAACAAGTAAACAAAACATCACCAGCAACATTATATTTAACTTAATTTCACTAAATGTCACAAAAAACCCAAGCCAGACACCCCAATCCCATGTTAGTTTGCTGTTACACAGAATACAGCTCCAAACAAGTTTTGATCCACAGTAAAATTCAGCAAGAAAAACATTTAAGCCCACAAAATAAAAGAATGCCAGTGGTTTTATTTCTGTCCTAATCAGCAAGATACTGAAGCCCAGCTGCTTTTTTTTGCAGGTGCTTTTAATAGCTGCCATTGAGAAGTTGAAATTAAAAAAAGTAAAGTATCATTTTTCTTGCGAGAACCTATTTCAAATACTTCAAAGGTTTTTAGATATTATTAAAAACATTGAAATTCAGATGCAAACTAAGAGATATATATTTTTTTAGCTTACTGAAAGAGAAGATTTAGTACCACAAGCTGACATAGAAGTAATATGCCTTGAACAGCAACATCCTATCTTGTCTTTCCTTAATACTGAATTCATAGAATTTTAGGATAATTTGACTAATCAAGCACTGAGCATTTCAGCAAATAATTTTAGAAACTGTTGTCATCTGTCACTACTTAGCTTTTATCACACTGGGACAGTTAAAACGAGGGACTACCATTTGCCTCCTTGGATAAGATTTAGGGGTGCATAAAAAAGCCCCAGAACAACCAACTGAATGACTTAAATGTTCTAAGTGGTAAATATGAACTTCCAGTGTTAAAGCAACACAAAATATACATTCAGTTCATAGCAGGTCTTGCCTACTAAACCCAAAGTATTTGTATTACAATTTTAGGCAATGCTTTTTACTCCATTTTAACATGATATTGTTAAGTACTTGTAGGTGGGGTGTATTTATATGTTCTATGTTTTAGCAAATCTTACTGCCTAAATATTTCAGCAGATAAACAACTGAGGTAATATTTAATATATTAATAAAATATCACAGATAGGGCTAATAAGGAATTCTTACTGTAACAAGCAGCACATACCCTGTTCATAGCACATACTAATTTTAACACTAAGAACAATACTCACCTCCAAGAGAACAATTAATGCTCTTGAGTTCACTGCAGCATGCTGGGGCCCATCCCAGGTGAATAAATGGGTTACAAAACACAGATTTGACAAACTGGGAAGATGTCTGCCAGAAATTATTATTTGTGATTGTTTCACTGGGATTTCCCATTGAATTGGAACTGTAGATTTACCGTGTTATCACTGTCTGCCTTCAATATGTTGGCAAGTACTAAATACAGGCTACTGAAGACAGCATAGAGGTAGATCAAGTATGGCTACTCATATTTTCTTAATCAATCTAAATAGTTCTTGACTGGATGTCTAATGCTAGTCATTAAGTGCTGTCCTTACTTCTCTACTTTAAGACAAACAACAGATTCCAACTCTGAAGAAAATGTCCAAACCTGTTCCATAACAAGGCAGGTAAATTATGTTTATGGTTTGTGTTTGCCTCACATTTTACAGCCAGTTCAATCTTCCGGCATTACAATGATCAGCATGATTCAGTGATAAGTTTATTTCATATACAAGAATGAATCACTATATACTTTACAGAACGTCCGCAGCTGACTGATGAAATAGCCTAAAAGTAAAATTTAGAAGTTTTATTTCCTTAGCTAGTGCTTTCAGCTACAATGCTTCTCTTTAACATTATTCCAGAAGCATTTTAGAGCCTAGATCACGTTAACTGATCTTTAACTCCACGCTGATAATTATATAAGATCATTGTCAGAATTTGTTTAGATTTTTAATTTCCAAGTGACTCTTAAAAACAACACAAACACACACATCTTCCACTGACCAACCACCTCCCATCAAATGGTATGAGGGGGTTTTGGA